AAACAAAAACACTAATCTAAAAAGACATATGCATACTTATGTTCATTGCAGCATTATTTACAATAGCCAGGATATAGAAACAACCTGTGTCCATTGATAAATGAATGGATAAAGAAGATGTGGTATATACACACAATGGAATATTACTCAGCATAAAACAGAATGAGATCTTGCCATTTGTGACAACATGGATGGACCTAGAGGATATTACACTAAGTGAAATAAGTCCAACAGAGAAAGACATATGTCATATGATTTCACGTTTATATGTGAAAACTAAACAACAAAACAACTAACAATAAAAAAAGCAGAAACAGACCCATAAACAGAACTAACTGATGGCTGCCAGAGGGAAGGAGAGTGGAAGGATTAATAAAATGGGTGAAGGGCAATGGAGATACAGGCTTCCAGTTATGGAATGAACAAGTCACAGGGATGAAAAACAGAGCATAGGAAATACAGTCAATGGTTCTATAATAGAATTGTATGCTGACAGGTGGTAGCTACATTTGTGGTGAGGATAGCATAAGGTAGACTTGTTGAATCACTATGCTGTACACCTGAAATTAATGTAACACTGTGTGTCAACTATACTTCAATTAAAAAAGAATATGAATTCAATAGAAATTAGCAGATTTTTTCTAAAAAAATATCATTTCCAAATAATCATCACGAAAAAAGTAATAAAAATTCCTTAATACCATAAAATATTTGGTCGGGGCGCCTGGGTGGCTCAGTCGTTAAGCGTCTGCCTTCGGCTCAGGTCATGATCCCAGGGTCCTGGGATTGAGCCCCGCATCAGGCTCCCTGCTCCATGGGAAGCCTGCTTCTCCCTCTCCCACTCCCACTGCTTGTGTTCCCTCTCTCGCTGTGTCTTTCTCTGTCAAATAAATAAATAAAATCTTTAAAAAAATAAAAATATAAAATATTTGGTCAGCATTCAACATTTCTCCAATTGTTTCATAATTTCTCTAGATATGTCTCTGAAGTCTTTTTCATCTATAGTTTCCCTTCCTTCTTTTTAAATTTTTCTTGCTAATAAAACAGAAGCCAGGTAATATGTCCTATAAAGTTTCCCACATTCTAGATTTTGCTAAATGCATCCCAACTGTGTCATTTTACATATTCTTCTGTACCCGGTATTTTCTTTAACCTGGTATATATAGGCTTCATCAGATTCAAGTCCAATTATTTGGCAAGAATGCTTCACAGGCAATAGAGGCACACAATGGCAAGCTCTTTTTTGGTCCAAAACCCCCCTTATTTTTATTTTTTTAAAAGATTTTATTTATTTATTTGAGAGAGAGTGAGCACACACGAGTGAGTATGAGCAGGGGGAGGAGCAGAGGGAGAGGCAGACTCCTCGCTGAGCAGGGCGGCTGACCCAGCAGGGGGGAGGGGCAGAGGGACAGGTAGAAGCAGGCTCCCCACTGAGCAGGGAGCCCAATGGTGGGCTCAATCCCAGGACCCTGGGATCATGACCTGAGCTGAAGGCAGACACTTAACCGACTGAGCCACCCAAGCAAAACAAAACCCCCTTATTTTTTTAAAATATGGATTAAACTGAAGCCTCAGCATTGCCAAGCAGTTCACACAGTGATAAAATCAAGAACAAAACCCCAGCCTTTTAATTCTATTTTCTACTCCTTTCACTATATCATATATTGTTAACATCTTGCTGATTGATTATACCAATTACTCTGCTATGCATTATATGAGATATGGTCCCACCACTCACCACTTATTACACAGCCATAAATCCAGAAGTCACTCTAGGTTTCTTCACTTCTCTTACTTTCACTAAGTCCATTAATTTTATCTATTTAACATCTCTCTCATTTGTTCTATCCTTTCTACCCCCCACAGCTACTGCTTTAGTTCAGACCTTTCTCATTGCTTTCCTGAATCACTAAAATAGCTTCTTGGAGTCCCCCTTCTCCATAACTATCTTGCCTTTGTCAACCCGGATCTACCTTGTCAACAAAAGATTTTTCCAAGTTACAATTCTAAATATATTATTTTTCTGCCTTAACCCTTTGATATTCTCTCATTTCCATGGTGGAGTCCATATTCATTAATACAACCTACAGTCCCCATCATCTGGCCTTTGTCTATCCAACCACCCTCATCTTCATTACTTCCACTCACTATATTCCAGTTTATTGAATCATTGAAGCTTTCTGAATTGGCTGGCAAGGATATATAGTGATTAAAAGTAGACTCTAGAATTAGACTTGACTTTGATCCTTATATTCCCCCATTTACTAACCACGCAACCCAGAACATACTTACCATCTCTGTGCCCCACTTACCTCACCTGTAGAATGGGAATAATCTCACTGAATTATTTTGTGTGTGTGTGAAGGATGACTGAAATAGCACAAGTAAAAAACCAGCATGAGAGCACTCAGCAAATATTGGAAGTGTCAGTGTCATTATGTTGTTCATTCATTTCTATATCCTTTAAATCTATTCCCAAGACTGTTTCCCTCTTCTTTCTTGATAACCTTTCCCTTATTAATAACCTAGAAAATTCCGATTCTGATCTCTAAACCTTGTAGATATTTGCATTGCTGTGCCCTACAGCTGTAACTCCGTCTCTCTACACGACTGTGAAAATCTTAGACAGGGACCAGATCTTTCTTATATTTGGCTCTTCATGTCCTGGAACACGGGCTCTCCACTGTCCTGGTTCAGTGGAAAGCTCAATAATTCAAGTGTGGTAATCTGAACAAAACTGATGGTGTTCATTTTAATTATATCAATTTTCATTTATTTATATTTTAGGAAAAATATAAAATAATTGATATTAAAATATTAACTGTTCATCAGCTCCTTTCCTTTATTATTTCTTTTTTTACTAAATTAAATAATGTAGGATTGTATCTGATGACAGTAAAGTTTCCTTTTCTTTAAACAGTGAAAACCTGTATAATTATAAAATTTTTAAATGGTTAAATCTTTTGCTACTTATTTTAATTCAAATCCAGTATACTATTATATATATTCAGAACTCAAACTATTCATCTTCATCTAAACCTTCAATTAAATTCCACAATGCAAACCTCTTGGCACTAGAACCACATTTCATGTTTATTCAACTGAGACTGTGTCTTGAAAAAGTGTTGAAGTTTGGGGGTTTTCTGGTGAGAATCCACATTCTGACATCACCTTGCCCATGACAGCGATTGGCTGTTAGAAGGCAAAGAAGAGTTTATAGCCAGTCACAGCAAGCAAATGAGTGAGTTAGACAGCAGAGGAAATATTCAATCTGTGTCGCTCACTCCTGTGAGACTGTCTCCTCACTCCAGAACTGGAAAAGGGTAAGATTTATTATGATGACTTCATTTTCTTAAAATTGAACACTCCACATTTCACATCTCTGGACCTGCTTTGAATTTTTTATTTTAATGTTGATGTTATTGAATTGTATAGAATGGCTATGTAATTTAACACTTGTTTATCATCAAACTAGTACCTCAGAGTTAAGATTCTTTCCAAAAGGTTAAGCTTATTTACCTACGCATGTAAATAAGTTAATATTGTGCACATAAACTAGAAAATTTTGTGTCCTACTTGCTACCTCTCCACCTCACAAAAAACTGTTTGTTTCCTCATTCTGATGTATTCAAGATAACCTGACTGAAAAAATAGTAATTTTTCACTTGTAAGTCCGCCCCAAGGAGTGCAGATTTCACCATAAATTATGCCTAATCTATACTTGAATTATATATAATGTCTTTTTACCATGTTCGGCTTCAAAGTGTTGATATCCTGTATCTCTAAAATCAGTATGGAAAAATATATAGGACTAAAGAAATAAATAATGTTAGTTTATCATACTTTTCCCAATGAAAACTTGTAATTAGATTTTCAAAACTATCCTTTAAGAATGTTTGAATTGTCGTCTGGGTTAGTAGTAGTCAATATAGAGTCTTTGTTTTTTATGAATCAGAAAGTAAATAAAATGAGATTTATGTAGGCAGCCAATTGCTGCCTACATGAATCACTTGGTTCTTTTTATATTATTCCTGCTACGTTTTCATCTAGTTGTTTTTATGGTTTGCTATGAGAAATTTATGTAATCAAAACCCTTTCTTCAGTTCCCTGTACTTAAGTTTTTAGCTCTTTAAGACATTATAAATATTCCAACTCTTTTCATAAAGCTGCAGAGCAATAAACTTCTTGTTTGCTGGGAAGCTTGACCATGGGTAACAAAGTTCAAAGTATTACTTTAAGCACCCCAATAGCAATAAAAACTTAGACAGACGGGCTCCCTTCAGGGGCAAAGCCTCTTTATCGTTGTGTGGCCATTAAGAACCTTTACTGAAGTAGACAGAACTGTGAGGAAGTGTGTAGGCATCAAAATCAAAAGACCCAGTCTGCCACAAATAGAGTGTGACTTAGGAGCCAAGACACCTTCTCCAGGCCTTAAATTTTACTCTGTGTAATGTTTAGTGGTAGATACTCAATAAGGATGCAATAAATTGTGGCTAATGACAAAATGTAAAATCAAACTTCAGAATACAGTATATGACATGGGTTTCATACATACATTTTAAATATTACTTTTCCAAGTGTGTTTACGGGGAAATTGCCATCATCATTACATACTGCTTCTAAAATGTTGCCAAAGCTGTCACTCTCAGTTAAACATACATGTCAGTGCAAATGGGTGGGTATTAGTTGGCTTTTAGCCAAGTTTATGCAACCTCTATTAAAATAGGATTTTATCAGGTGCCTGGGTGGCTCAGTTTGTTAAGTGTCTGCCTTCGGCTCAGGTCATGATCCCAGGGTCCTGGGATAGAGCCCCGTGTCAGGCTCCCTGCTTGGCGGGGAGCCTGCTTCTCCCTCTCCCACTTCCCCTGCTTGTGTTCCCTCTCTAGCTGTGTCTCTCTGTGTCAGATAGATAAAATCTTAAAAAAGAAAAAAAAGTTACACTTCTGGTTTTAATATTTATTAACTTTACCACTTCATTAATTCCAGAAGCAATCACCAAAATGAAGACTGCTTTAATTTTGCTCAGCATTTTGGGAATGACCTGTGCTTTCTCAGTAAGTTCAATATTAAAAACCTATAGTTATTTCCTTGTCTTTTCATGTAAAAGAGAGAGTATGTAATAATTAAATATTCTTACAAACAGATGAAAAATACGCATCGAAGAGCCAAATTAGAGGATTCTGAAGAAAATGGGGTAATTATGCTTAGTGTACTTTCTTGGCCTGACTATATTTCCTTTAGATTTACTGCACATTAAACATGAATATATCATTTATTTTGCTTATGCAGGTCTTTAAGTACCGGCCACGATATTCTCTTTACAAGCATGCCTACTTTTATCCTCCTCTAAAACGATTTCCAGTTCAGGTAAGTATAAAAATTTATTTTCTTTCCCACCCATTATAATTTAAAGGGAATCAAATTTAACTACAAAACACCTAAATTCAATTCTCACTGAAAGTCAACCAGAAAGACTTACTACAAAAAGTTTATTTTTACTACAATACAATAAAATTTATTCCTAAGTTCTCTTTTAAAGCAGAGATATACACATCATTTGGGCCCAGTCTAGAATGATATAATAAAAGCAAACACCCTGAGAGTTCAGGTGTTTTGGCTAATGCATTGACGAAATGGACAATTTTATCTGTTGTTGACAATTAAGTCAGTGATAAGGTCACTAACTGTCATTTTATAGTTGAGTCAAAACTGTCATATAGCTGTTAACATCCGATAATTTACAGTCCTTTAATTGGTAAGGGAAAAACTGACTTCATAAACAGCAGAGACCATTTTTTAAAAAACATTCCTGATAATCAGTGGTGATTGCTGAAGATTTTCTGAACCTCTGACCTGTGTTGGTCACTATAACAGAAGCGTGGCTCAAGAATGATAGAGGAAAGAGAGAAATTCACGAAGTGAATTGTGAGAGTGTTTGTGAGAAAAACAAGAGATCCTTGAAATTTGTAAACAAAAAGGAAATTAACAAACACTAAAAATAAGAACTTCTGTTTTTACTAGGTTACCAGTGAAGAAAGCCTTTGAAAACTTGAGGGTGTGGTGTTGATTTAAAATATTCAACAAACCAGAATTGTGCTATTTTTATTACTATACAGTTTGGGTTCAGGGCACCATTTGACCCAGGACTCCTGAGACACTAAAAGCAGTCAAGATGCTGAAAACGATGCCTCAGCACAGTGGCTTGGCAGAGCATCCTGCCATATGTTGGGCCAACCCATTTCTAACTCATACAATGATAGGAAATGATAATCTTAGAGTATTTATAGCACCATAATAATTATGGGGAATGTGTGTGGCCACAGAAATATGAGCACAGATGATACAAGAGTTGTGGGTTTTCAGAATTGTCTTCCATTCTTTGGTACACCTCAGACCCCACAAATAAACAGTGCTCATTTGAATGTTTGCTTCATTCTCTTTCTTAAGCTAAATGGAAATGATAATAAGTTTAAATTTCTGGCTAGCTCCTCAATTTTTTAAAAATATCACATAGAGATATTTCCATCTATAAATTTTTATAGACATATAAATGTGATCCAATTAAAATATCCATAGTGAAAAGATATTAGGAGAGGTTCTATTTTTCTTACTGATAAATTCAAAATTCAGAAATCTTTAAGTAGATTTTTAATATACAATATTTAGAGAAATTATATGCAAATTCATTTCAACTAATGCAGAGTTTGTAAGACAGTTGTATTTTAAAAATATCCAATAAAATATACTCCCCAATCCAACAGTCTGACCTAGTATTGATGATCTATTCTCCTCCTTTACAAAGTTTGATTTCTAGAATTTTTTCCCTTACATGTCTACTTATATATTTTCCATAGCTCTGTATTATTTATTCTCTTAAATCTATCAAGTATTTGGTGCCCAGATTGTCACCCCAAAATTCATTAAGCTGTACTGGCTTTGAACTTTATGTTTTATTCAAACAAATCTGTGTTTACATATAATTACTTTTTTCTTTTTTTTTTAAGATTTATCTATTTATTTTAGAGAAAGCGTGCACAAGTCGGGGGAGGGGCAGGGGGAGAGGGAGAAAAAGAATCCTCAAGCAGATTCCCGCTGAACATGGAGCCCAACGTGGGGCTCGATTCCATAACCCTGAGATCATGACCCAGGCGGAAATCAAGAATTAGCCACTTAACCAACAGAGCCACCCAGGCACCCTTACATATAATCATTTCTAAAACACCAACTTCCATGAAATATGTCCTATCGATTATAAAGCTATCAACAGTCTACCTATAGCTTATCTCTGTGCTTGGCTATAGAAATAGAAGCATAAATAAGCTTAATACCCTAAGCATTTTTAATTGAGGAAATTGCTTCTTTAAGGAATCACATGTTATTTGAATTGTATGTGAATTCTTTGAGGGCAGAATCTTTATATTTCCTTTATTGTACTGATCTCAGCTATCACGGTGCTTGACACAGGGAAACTGTCCATGTTTCCAACTTCATCTCTTGCTACCACCCTCATTCTCAAAACAATGCCTGAAACACATATTTTGGGATTGAATAAATGGGAGTGACAGAAGTTGAAAGGAGTAATGGTAAAACATATATACATACATGTGTGTGTGTGTATTTGACTTCTGGAAGAATAATATGTCTTAGTTACAAATTGGCATAAATGAAAGAAAGGAAAAAAGAAAATGTCAAGGCTTTAGGGCATTGCATGAAGCTTTAAAACTGTTCTCACGGCAGACACTAATTGAAGAGTGATGTGGCTGGGACAGCAAGAAAGCTAAGGGTGAGGAACCTTGTAAAAAGATTCAAACATTCCCACTGAGACAAAAGACGTTGCAAAAATATGCTGTCCTCTCTTACTAACAAATAGAAATAGTTTACATGTAATACCATGCTTTATTCACCCTCTGGGCTAGGGAAAGCACAACCATTAAGGTCATGGCAGTGGAAGAGCAGGTATAATTATTCTCTTTTCCACCCAAGGTTATTCTTGGCTCAAGGGGACAAGCATTCCCTTTTCTTGGGTGGATGGCATGGCCACTGAAGAATGAGTCCCATAGGGACAGCCTTGAGTAAGACTGGAATATGAGTGTTTCCTCATATCTGATTTCTAACCCTGAGATTCTTCTCAAGCTCTATTTTCTAAGACCCACAGTACTTAACTAGGTCATCAGAATCTAAGCTAAGATTTGCAGGGCAGAAAATAACAGCATCTTAAGTCAGGTATCCATTTATCTACCTGGTGCTATTAGGGGTGGTTGCAGAAAGAGAAGGAAAATTCAATTTGTCATTGGGAGAAAGATGAAAAATCTCCTCTACTGTCTCAAAGTCTCTGATAACAAGTGTTTAGACTTATATTTCCTTCTAAAAAGTAGCAAAGCTTGTTAACTTATATTTTTATATACAGACTCCTCGGTTTAATATATTCTCATTCAATATTGAACTCTTTAGAGGGATGGTACTCTATAACTCTCCTAAATGAGTAAGTGAATTAATTTTGCTCTTATATAATTTTTACCTCATATATATAAAATCTCATTTATATATAGAGAGAGGCTTATTTTATGAAGTAGCTTTAATTAGACTGAAAGATATTAAAAATTATATGTAAATCTAATTTCAAGTTAAATTCTAATTTAAATTCACCAGGAGGTCATTATTTTTTTTTAAAGATTTTATTTATTTACTTGAGAGAGAGAATGAGACAGAGAGAGAGAGCATGAGAGGGGGAAGGGTCAGAGGGAGAAGCAGACTCCCCGCCGAGCAGGGAGCCCGATGCGAGACTCGATTCCGGGACTCCAGGATCATGACCTGAGCCGAAGGCAGTTGCTTAACCAACTGAGCCACCCAGGCGCCCCAGGAGCTCATTCTTTAAAAGAATCATCCAGTAACAACTTTTATTTCACAATAAGCCTAATCATTTTATATTTTATAAAGAAAACAAAATAATATGATCTATGTGTTAGTTCATTTGCCTTGAACTGGTTGGAGAAGTCACAGCTGCTCTGGGCTTGATTCCTTCTCTGTAAAATAAATTGAACCAGATAATCCTCTTGTTCTTGCAGAGTTAAGCAATTCTGTGATTCACTGCTCTAGTTTTTTACATACAAAATGTTTCAACATATTTCCTATGTTTTTGGTGTTGAAAATGGAGTATCTCATTTCATATCTTGATCACTACAAAATGCCTTTTTCTAACCTCATTTTATATATTCCCAATCTCCTTATATCTTTTTCTCAGATTTATATGAGAACTGTTCTAAGTAAATAAATCAATCAAGATGGTAATACTAATTAGTATTAGTATATTACCCTAATTAGGGTAAATATTTGTACATATTTTATCTTAATTCAATCAGCAGGAAATTTCCTTTGGTGTTGAACGTATGTGTACATATATATGTACACAGATATTCATATATTTACAAATTCACACATATATATATTTTTTAGAGCAGTAGTGACTCATCTGAAGAAGATGGAAATGGTGACAGCTCAGAAGAGGAGGAAGAAGAGGTAAGGAATTTCTGCAGGATTTTTCATAATAAACCAGGCAGCATAAAAACAAATAGGAAACTAGTCTACTGTAGCCTGGACTTAGCAAACAGCCATTGCCAGTTTACCAACTACCCACAGTCTTCTATTTTGGACAAGAGGAATGTTATTGAAATTAGAACCAACTAAAATGACCTGTTTAAAATACTATTGCAGTTTGACGTTAAAGTGACCTGTAAGCAGTACACAAAACCAAAAATGTCTCCATAGTAAGTGGAAGAAGTGTAAATTCTGATAAAAAGAAAAGACAGTATTATTTATACTTAGATGGACAGAACATGATGATAAAAGACAAGTCCCTAAACTCAGTGCAATACTTGTTTTAAGGACTGAATTTAAACTCAATTTACTAAGTGGGTAGTATATGAAAAGCTAATCTTATATCCTCTACAATGTTATTTTGATTCATTGGTCTTTCTTGACCCACAAAGTAGGGTTGTTGTTTTAAATGAGAATTTCATGTCTTTTTTTGTCTAACAATAAAATTTATGTTCTTATAGAAATGCAAATACTCAAGATGTATAAATATATATAGCACTATATAGTACTACAGATTCTACACGTAGTACAGCATAGTCCTCTAGAGGACTACAAATTAGTGTAGTTCACGGCTAAAATTCATCTGTATATCTTGGAAATTGTGCTAACATGTTTATAACTGACACTCTTGCTCAATATACTAATTAGGTACCTTTTCCTGGATAGTCAATTATAGCAATCCACTGCTTTGGGGACCTTCTAAATTCAGGTATTCTTAAGTGCTATTTATGAATGGGCAGCAACAGTCAAAAATGGATCATGTAGAAACATCTGCTATCTTGAAAATAAAATGGTATGGGAACTTTAAAAGTGACAAATAATTAGTTTGACTTTTTTTTTAACCATAAAAGTATCATTTCCAGTACTATAATTTACCCTAATAGCTTAAGGAAGACCTTATAAGAATATCAAGCCAGTACCAGGAAAAATGTCACCTACTAAATCCCACAGAATTTCAACCGGAGTTCCACTTAGTAATCTTACACAACAACTAAGCTGAGGTAATCCATTTAACTACAACTGTTTGCTGTACAGTGATCGCAAAATTGCCTTGCCAGCTGGATTTCCCCATTAGATTATACCTTTTGGCAATGGTTCTTCATTTATTATGATGGTGGTTGGGAATGGAGGAAGATTAGGACTCCTTTAAAACTATGATGAAATCATACACACTCAAAATGTTGCCAACAATCTCTGAACATTAATCATCCTCCCAAAACTTATCTGCAAACTTCTCATGACCCAGAGGACTAGAGACCACAGGTTTCATCTCTGGTTTGGGGAGAAACAGTGCTGTACCGTCCTTATACCTCCTCACATTGCCTAGCACAGTTTCTCATACAATATATGGTATCCAACAAATACCTGGTGGTTTGGTTTTGAAAACTTCAGAGAATAAATACTCCAAACATCATTCATTAAAAGTGACCACAGCAAAGTGGATAAATAAACCTGGAGGCTTCTCTCCTGAAGAGATTCTAGAACTTCCTTTTTCCCCATTTCTTCCCTAAAATTTCATTGGCAATTCAGGTTAAATACATAGAGCCCCCTAGAATTGTATTCAAACGAGAGGGTGCTTAGGAATGCTTTCTATTGGGTGATCATTTTTTTCCACTCCTAAACTATTCAGCCTCACTTTAAAAAAAACTTTTATTTAAATATAATATACACAATTATCATTTAAATTTAAATCATTTAAATTATCATTTAAAATTTTTATTACCTTAAAATTATATAAATAATTATATTAATTAATTATATAAATTATATAATATATTTTATATAAATATAAAATTTTAT